CTCCAGGTGATTGCCAGAAGCTCCTGCTGGTAAGAAGGACTGGAGAACTTTTACCATCCCATGACCTCTGAGATCCTTGCCAGAGTGTCACCGTCACCTGAATGACAAGGTCCCATCCCCAAGTCTTCACTCCAGTCAGCAGCAAGGGGGAAGAGAGGCTGTGGTGGCCAACCCTGTCCCCTTAAAGGCAGGCCTAGGCCTGGTCACATGCCACTCCTGCCCTGCAGGGCCTGGGTAGTGCTGTGGGCACTGGAAGGCCASGTGYCCAGCAGGGACTCACTGGCTCTTGTCCTAAAAGAGGAAGGAGTGTGGATGTTGGGGCCAAAGACCAGACTCTGCTGTTGCACCTCCCAATAAGAGCTCTCTCTRATTTTATTTGACTTCCTTCTAACTCCTCTGTGTCCAGCCCCCGTGGTCCATAAGGTTTCTGTGCTGATCTCTGGCATATGGGGGTTGTGAGTGGCAGCTCATATTTCACTTTTTATAAACTTCTAAGCTTTGCCTCCACCAAAGGCACAGGGTCTAGTACGAGCTGAGTGCTCAGTCTTTGTTCCCAAAGTCCATTTCCCTGAGCCGCCTCAATGCTGCCATTGTGAAGGGGGCCTCACCCTGGCTGCAGATGCGGGCCTCCAGTCCCGACCTCCATCATCACCTAACAGTCTCCCCTGTGTGTCTCTCCTGTCACTTTTCTCCTTAAGGACATCAAGGACCCACACACTCCAGTGTGACCTGTCCATCCTGATTTATGCCACTATTGCATCTACAAATACCCTCATTCCAAACCAGGTCACATTCACAGGCACAAGGGCTGAGCACATCAATGTCTCTCTTGGAGACACAACAAACCTCAGCGAGGGCCTGCCATTCACAATCCCACCCTCAACAGACCTCCAGAGGACCKGTCCTTTCTCTCTTTAGGAAGGTACAGTCCCCCAAATGATCCAGAAGCATATCTCATAGATGCCCATGTGGCCACATGCGTTCCGTCCCCGGGGGCAGCGTCTGCTCCATCAGATAGCATGTGCCTCCAGTCGTGGGGGTTTGTTGGTGTGTTAGTAAGACTGTGCACATTTGGAGTGCCTGACACATGGTTTGAGATCCCCATGCACTACAGGATGGCTGCACCAAGCTCGTGAACAGATGCCTCGCCGCCGTGTCTCCCGGGGAAAGAACACTTTGACTCTACCTGCCGCGGTTCTCAAGTGCACAGAGAGTAGGTAGTTAGCTGTTGCAGCACTGCGTGTGGTGGCCTTGCTTGTCCCTGCAGGCCCCACTCCGCCTCCAGCCCCTGGCAACTGCCATGCCCCCTTGGCTGCTGCGACTTGCCCTTTCTCAGGCTGCACCTCCCGGGGAAGCTGAGCGGTGCTGGCTCTCTGTCTGCTCATCCACTGGCCTGAGGTCCCCGGCTCCATCCAGTTGCCACCAGGGCAGGGTTTCCTTGCCCTCAGGTGGGTTGTCCTTAACAGGCTGCACCCCAGCCCTGCAGAGCTTCCCACCCCAGCACGCACCGACTCTGCCCAAGCCGCCAGCCCTGTGTCAACAGCACTGCCACCACGTCCTGGGTGCTGCCCTGCACACCCCCAAAGACTGCCTGACGAAGGTGAAGGAGCCATACTGGTGGATACTGGTGGCCGTCTCTCTATCTGCACTGGCCAAATGACCTCCAGGTGTGAAGACTCACTGTATTGGACTGTTCTTGAGCCCCTTGAGCCCAGGGGGTTTGTCCTCTGGTCTGGCCCGTAGCACGGTTTGGAGTGAGTGAAAAGCACTTTAGATCATTGCTTTGACAGGGAAGGAAGGCCACAGCCCCTTCGGCTGTGAGCCAAGCCGCGTGGACACAGGGACCTCTTCACGAGGGAAAGGTGGTCATGGGCGAGCAAATGCCCCAGTGTGTCTTCCTTTTCGATACTTAAATCGTCCCCAGCAGATCAGGGAAGGTGAGGGAAAGACACACCCTCTCSTGGGCCTGAGTTCATGGTACTTGCTCAGAAAGGCAAGCTATTGMTTCTGTTCCCAGGCAAGTTTCAAGCAATTAATTTAGTTGATGAAATAGGGAATTTTCCCCTCTGTCTTCAAATCTCTGTTCCTCAACTACATTATTTGGTGTGTGGCATTTAAGCAACTGCCTCATTAAGCTAGTGTTCCTGAGGAAAATGTTGCAGAATAGGGACATTCATAATTAATGCTGTGAAGTCAGGATYTCATCTGCCCAGGCCTTCCCCCGCTAGTTTCTTACACTTAATTATCTCTGTAATGAGCGACCACCACACAGAAAATGAACACGCCAAGGAGTGATGTGGCAAAGCACACGTAGGGAAATACAGTTATAAGCTTTGGGGGCCACCTTTGGCGTCAGAACACCTTTCCATATGCCACTGTCGCATTGTGGCTGGATTAAAGGAACAGGCACTGGTCCCCGGGTGGGCAGCAGACGTGTGTCGCTCCCCAGGGAGGTGGGCTCAAGGTCTGCCCCATGCCTACCTTGTGTAATCTGCACCCAGATGCTCTGAACAGTGAATTGAGCTCAGAGGAAATACCCTGTGTGTGTCGGTGGAATTGACAGAAATCATTCTGCACCCAGCTCAGGCCTCCACCCCTCTTCTCGGCCTCCTGGGTCCATGGGTGGCCCTCCCTGTCTATTGCTGGTCAGGCTCGAGCAGCTGAAYCTCCCTCTGGTCCAAGGGCAGGTCTAGACACCAGGTGTTCACAAAGGTGGTGGAGAGGAGGCGGGGCCTCCCTTGCCTGGCCCCTGTGAGCGGGCATGTTGGATGGGACAAGAGTGGCCTAGTCATGCCCAGGGCTGACGATGGTCACCGTTGGTCCTGGAGGCTGCTCGGGTTCAAGGAGAAGGAATGGACGGGCAGCGTCCTGGGGTGCCTGGCCATCAGGGCTGTGTCTGCCCGGTCTTTCCTCCTTCATGGAGCCTGGGTTGCTGCCAGCCCTGCTTCTCCGCTCAGCCTTCCCTGAGCTGGATTTGCTCCACCGCTGACCGCAGAAAGCTGGGCTCCCTTCTGCCCTGTCCCTCCGACTCTGCTCAGTCACCGTGATTGCTGGTCACCCCTTCCTCCAGCCTGCAGGGCAGGAGGGACTGAGCAGAATCATCACAGATTGCATTCAAAGGTGCCGATTTTTCCAGCAGACCAGGTGCTGGAGTCTGTTACTCACGGTGCCAGGTGACTCCGCACACAGTCACTTCTGACCCTCTCCTCCAGCTGCCAAAGGCTTTGGCATATCCTGTAGGAGGCCTGAGACTCCTACAGACCTGACACTCAGCCACCCTGCTCCTTGCTGCTCGTTCCCAGCCCTGTCCCCACAGGCAGTGGCAACACTTCTGAAGAGCTGGGAAGATGCCCAAGGTCACAGCACTGCAGGTGGAGGGGACCTGAGGGCTGCTGTGCGCCCCTAGTGTCACAGATGGGGCCTCGTGACACCAGCACAGGACTCAGGGCCCTGTGTCCACTCTCCTTTAGCTCTGTGCTGCAGCCTGGGGCACCCCTGGTGGCAGTGGGGGGCAGTGTCCTCTCCGCGGGCTCCGTGCACCCTGAGGCTCTGCTGTCGGTGGCTGGGGTTGTCCCATGCCCACGTCACATTCTGCAGGGAGTCCCCCTGGGCTGCCTGCAGGAGGGTGCTCTAGAAGACAGGGAGGAGCTGTCTGAAAGGAGAAGAGCACATAATGAAGCTCATAATTCCTCCACCCGAAGGCGCCCGGGACATCGGGAGGGTAGGGGGTGGGAAGAACAAACTCCCACCTCGAGGCCTCCAGGCTCCGACACCCAGCAGTGAGACCCACTGAGTGCCTGATGGGGGTGGGCAACTGGGAGGGCCTGCATCCTCCTGGAGCGTCTTCACCCCCATCTGCTCTCAGTCCCCCAGACCCCAAGGCTGGCGCCAGCTCCAGTCTCCCTGCTGTGTCCCCCCAACAACCATGTCCTCCTGTGGCGGCCACCCCATCTTCCCTCCAGCCTGTCCCCGGTGAGGACTTGCACACGTTCTTTCTCGTGCATCCTCGGGTCCTTGATGCCTCCCAGTCCTGCAGGGTCCAGCAGGCTCGAGATGCACCCGCCCAGTGCAGCCAGACTCCTGTGTGCTATGACGTGGATAATCATTCTAGAAGAAAACCCAGAAAGGGCTGGCTCACACGACAGGTTCCCTTCCTCACAGGAGAGCCTCCTGACCTGCGAGCGGTCAGCACCGTGATGGCCACTCTGACTCCAGGCCTTCTGACTTGGAGCCTTGGAGGTGTCTGCCCTTCGCATGTTAAACACAGCTCTGTGCTGGAGCCTGGGGCTGCAGCAGAATTTCCTYTCTGGATTGGATTTCAGACACTAGGAGACCCGTCTGTAGGCGACACTGATCAGCCACGTCCCTGTGGGATGGGGCTGAATGACGGGTGCTTCCCGCTGAGCCTCGAGGCACCTTCCCCCCTGAGTCCTTTCTAAGATGCCCCTTTGGCATTTTTCTGCCAAACAGTGAAGCCACGCCCTCTGTTAAGGTGAGGCACACCTGGCCTTTAACACCTTCTGTCTCCTCAGGGCTGAGTCTTAGGGGGCTGTGTGTCTGTGCGCGTCCCCAGGTCCCTCCTGGTAGGCTTTGGAGGGCCGTCCTTCCTCACTGGTTCTGTCCAGATGTGCCACGCCACAGTGTGAGCTGACTYCCTCTAGTTCTGTTATTAAAATAACCATCTCCAACATAGAATAGTAGTTCCACTCAAAGGCACTCGTTAGCAGAGAAAGGGTCTATAAAAGTGTAACACTATAATAATGGGAATATGAAACTGAAGGAGATAATTAAAATATAATGATGACCAGCTTTTTCTAAAAAGCTTTCCCTAGGCTCCTAGTTCTCAAATGCAGGCACTTCCTGGGCCGCCATGGAACACGGGCGTGGGGACACTGCAGGGTCCCTGCAGAGATGTGCAGCCCACGGGTCCAGCCACCCCAGCTGACCCTGGCTCCGCCCCCTGGCTGCCTGCTCACCGCGCTCTCCTTTGTTTCCCTCAGAGGAGATTCTGAAGACCCACATCGCGCACTGGTGGTCTCCCGATGGCACGAGGCTGGCCTATGCCACCATCAACGACTCCCGTGTCCCCCTCATGGAGCTGCCCACCTACACGGGCTCCGCCTACCCCACCGTGAAGCCCTACCACTATCCCAAGGTGAGCCGAGCACCAGGAGCCGGGCCCTGAATGGTTCATGAGCCCCGGGCGCCCAGGAGGGAGGCGGTGGGTAATCAGGCGTGTGGGTGAGCAGTGCCGGAGACACGGGCAAGATCGATTACTTCTCATTACGTTGCGTTAAGTTCCCATCTTTGTTGAGTGGAATTCTTTGGCAGGTTTACTTTATTTCAAATAATTGAGTGACTGTTCATCATTTGCCTGAGCTTCCCTGGAACCAAAATAAATACATTGCCCTCACCGTGACACTGGGTGACAAAAATCGTGGTACCACACTTCCTCTTCGCAAGCCTTCGAGGACGTGACTTCTGAGAAGTTCGAACAACTTCTGGCTGTCCCTGGGAGGGGCTGGCCAGTGTACCTTGTGCTTGGTCACTGCTGTGGTCTGGAAGTTTCTATGCCCCAACACAGATGTAGAGATCCTTGCCCCAGGGTGAAGACATTAGGAGGTAGACCTCCTGGGTGAGGTCACCTCCAGGTGACCACCTAGGAGGTGACCAGGCCATGAGGAGCCCTCATAACTGGGATTAGTGCCTCATAAAGGAGGCTCTGGAGAGGTGACCAGGAGAGGACCCAGTGACAAGGCCCATCTGGGTGGACAGGGCCCTCACAGACCGCGAGTCTGCCAGCACCTTGATCCTGGGCCTGCAGCCTCCAGAACTGTGGGAGACACGGGCTCCCCGTTTGGGGTGCTTTGTTACAGCAGCCTGAATGGATGAAGACCGTCAATTTCTGACCCAAAGAGCAGCAGAACACCCAGGGTTCTCTGCAGGGCACRGGCATCCAGACTCACTTCATTACCGAACGCAGCCTTAACACTCAAGGGGAGGGCCTGGTGCTAAAATGTCAGCCCACTCACCTGTGGGAGGCTGAGGCCAGCAGTGGGATGCAGCTCCTGTCCACTGGCTCCAGCAGCCACTGGCCACTGAAGGGAGCCCCTCCCTGCCRGGCCTCACTGCAGCCTCTGAGAGCCAGCAGTGCCTGCCCCTCCCCTGAGAACCCTGGAACTACCAGCCTGGGGTTCGCTCGCTGCCAGAGGAGCCACGCTGTTGGTGGAGCTTCTCCACCGCTCGCTCACTCACCCCGTGGCTGGGCTGCGTGCACCTTCCCCATCTCGTCTTCCCCTTCCCATGACGGTTTGCCAAGGCCAGCAGAACTCGCTTGACCTCCGCAGAATGAGCCTGTTGGACGGAATGGGAAGGGGCAGGTGCTCTGGGAAGGGAAAGAATCGTCCCGGTTTTCTCCTTTCTCACTTTAAAGTTCTACCCGTGGCTGGCCTGTCCTCCACGTGGCGAAGGCCACGCCTGGTGCTGCGTTCCGCCCTCCTGCAGCCCCACGCGTGCCTCGCCTGGGAAGGTTCTGCAGGGCGGGGGCGCTCTGCGGCAGGAGGTCCCTCACTCCCRTCTCCGCCCTTGGCTTCACAGGCCGGCAGTGAGAACCCCAGCATTTCCCTCCACGTCATCGGCTTGAACGGACCCACCCACGACCTGGAGATGATGCCCCCTGACGACCCTCGGATGAGGTCTGTGTTCTTCCCTCTCGTAGGTTAGAGGAGGATTGAGATGAAAGTCACCGTGTGGCCTCCTCAGGACCAGACTTGTCTCCCTAGTAAGATGAATAGCCAAGAACGAGGTGCATGTTCTAAGTGTTCCTTACTGCTTTGTGATTGGGTTTCCTGAGGGGAAAAATAATGCAGCTCAGCCGACATCAGGAGTGCGGACCCCCGGGAGGCTGGGCTTTTCCCAGAGGGCCATGTCTCGGGTGGGTGGCACCGATGGCACGTGGCACACGCTAGATGGCAATCACTGGGAGACCTGGTGCAACCTCCCCAGAAAGTCCTTGGAGGCAGAATGGTTTCAAATGGTCCCCRTGTCTGGAGCAGCCCCAGAGGGCGTCTGTAACTGACCCGCCCCCCCTGGGGCTGGTGATTCCCGCTGTGCTCAGGCCAGATCTCCCACTGGGAACAACCACGGAGCACATCAGCCATGTCACTGACGTGTTATTATCAGTATCTGGTTTAGTAGGTTTTTTGTTAAGTCAAAACAACTGAGTAGGATCTGCCAAAGTGGAGCCTCCTCAGTATCAGTTCAGCTTTGCCCCCAAATTCCAGCAGCCGGGGGCTGATTACACCACCAGTGTCCAGTTGCGTCCCAGGTGGACCTTCCTCTGTTGAGACTATGGGTAGAGACTCCAGCAGGGGGCAGCGCAGGGTGCTGGGGGTCCTCGCGTCCACAGGTCCCCACAGCACTGCAGAGGGGCCTGCTTATGCCCCAAATCATTCATTCGAAGCTCGGCAAACATCCAGCGCCAACTCTGAGTCCCTCCAGCCTGGCTCTTCGTCATTGTCAGGACCTTCTGGCAACTTCTAAAACCAGAGGCCGGGCCCTCTACTCTGGCTCCCGACAGGTCTGGCTCAGTGGTGGATGCCCAGCACCCTCTGAGTGGCCTTCACCGCTGTCCTCACCCAACCAGGAACCCGCACAGAGCCGGAGCGCCCCACTCTTCTCCCTTAATGGGGCCTGATGCCGCGGTCCTCAGGAGGGCAGAGCAGACACAGGGCTGCTGTCCATCGGGGCTGTTGCTGCCCTCTCCCTGCCCTGGATTGTTCCTCCCCCTCCCACAGGAAGACCAACGTCTCCCCAGGGAGGAGGTGGACCTGGCCCCCGGCAGCTGCCCCAGGGCCTGGCTCTGCCGATCCGTCTTTGGCAGGTTGCCCTCAGTGTGCGCTGCCCAGAGGAATCGAATCAGCCTGGCTGATGATGTTTTTCTGGGATAAAACAAAGTTCAGATTATTACTTTGGCTCCTCTCCTGAAGACCCACAGATCTCACTGTTCCCATCCCCGCCAGCCTCCCGGGGCCTGGTCCAGCCAACTCGCTGAATTAATAGGGAAAGTCACCTGGAAAATCTCAGCCATCTGTTGGAGTTAATTGAAAGTCTCATTTAGTCAATTTGGTGATGCTGTTTCCGCAGGCATGATTAGCTTCAAGGACAATGAGAAATCAGCCTCAGTCAGAGCTCGAAGTTTGGATGCTGGCTGTTGGACTTTGGGCTCAGCTAAATGAGATGACGTGGTCCCCGAGCATTAGGAATCTGTGATGAGCAGATGTTACTTCCCTTACTGCTTCTCTGTCACACATCCTGAGACCTTAAAGGCAAGCAGGGGTCGGTCAGAAAGCAGAGACCAAAGGCAAGCAGACAGCTGGTGTTTGCCATCAGGAAACCGAGCGCCAGAGTTCAGGGTCATGAAACTGCAGCTGGCGGGGGAAAGGGGTGAGACTTGAAGAACCGTCACTAGTAAGCAAACGATCGCAGGTGTGAGAAGAGCCAGGATGCAGGGCATGTCTGAAGAGGAGGCCAGCCCCCTAGAGGTGACAGTGTCACAGTTAAGCCAGATGTCCCAGGCTCAGCACTGCTGCGTCTGGGCCCTGAGGAGTCCTTGCTGGGGGCCTGCCCTATGCACTGTAGCCTCTCCACTTGTCACTAGAGCCTCCAGGTGATGACCCCTGGCTTAGGGGGGTGTTCTCCAGCCGACCACCAGGTTCAAGTTGTAGTTCCGTGACTCGGGCAAGTTGCCCAGGCCTGGGGACAGCTCAGTGGCAGAACCCTTGCCTACCACTAGCCCACGCAAGGCCCTGGATTTATCCTGAGCCTCACTAAAAAGCAAAACAGAAAAGCGTTTCCTGTCATCGTGGTGGTGGGCACTGAGGAGATGGCAGGGAGCACAGGGCAGGCTCAGGGGCTCATCCAGGCTCTTGGGCAAGTGTCCTGGGAAGGGAAAGAATTGTCCTGGTCTTCTCCTTTCTCCCTTTAAAGTTCTACACTGTGTTCTTGAGAGGCGACAGCTGTGGCCCTCACGGCTCCACCTGACCTGTCTGGGAACGTCAGCCACGCAGAGCTAACCGGCTGTCCCAAGTGTCCTCTGGGCACGGTTGAAGGATGGTTATGTTTAGTGATTCTCGGGCACAGTGAAGGGACACAAGTCACAGCTTTACTTGTAATGGGCAAGGGAACCAGCAAGGAGCTAGAACCAGCCCCGAGGGCATTTGAAGAGCCCGGGTACARGGGTTAACAGGGAAGCGCAAGGCTGGGTGACTGGGCCACCTCGGGGGACAGCATCCCCAGGTGCACCCTACCCCCGCAGAGCTGAAAGTCGCCTATCCGTCCGCCAGCCCAGCGTGCTCTGGAGGCACACCCATGGCCCTGTGCCCCTTCACAAGGTCCAGAACATCTTCTGACAATTTCTAAACAGCAGCTCAACCTGATCAAGTCAAAGCAGAGCCGCTCTCCCCTCCAGGGCAGCTCCACCTCCAGACCTGTCCCTCCCAGCTGCCCACCGTCCTTGGCAGGGGCCCCCTCCTGCAGGTGCCTCCCCTCTGGCCCACACGTCCCCCACCTGGCCTCTGATCCGTCCAGCCAACCCCCAGGGAGGAGCAGAGTGACCCTGTAAACTGCACCAGGTCACAATGAGCAGATGTGGCCCCCTCTTCTCTCAGGTGACAACCAAACCTCTGCCATGGCCTAGAAGCCTCAGTCATGTGACCCTCCCATCCCGCGACTCCTGGCCCTGYTCCCCAGGGCCTCTGTGCAGGCCCACTCTCCTGGACAGCTCCTCCCCTGAGGCTCAGGCCAGCCCCCCGGGTCCTCGTCAGGCTCACGGCCTCCTCGCAGACCCCCGGCTTCACTTGAGCTGACCCGACCCCTCCTCTGCCCTCCTCCGTTTTCTTCATGGAACCTGCAGCAGATTTCCCCAGGTACTGTGGGCCTCGGTGTCCGCGGGGAGCGGTCCAGGGCCCCACAGCTAGGACACCCACAGGTATCTGGTCTCTCTCGGTGGCATCGTGTCTGGTATGACCCACGCACCTCCTCCCAGGTCCTTGCGGTGTCTCTGGACCACTCACAGTGCCTCACACCACCTGAGTGCTCTGTAAACCGCTGTCACCCCTCGGGGAGCGGGTAACCGGGAAGGGGACCTCAACGAGGATCCAGGAGGGCGGGAGGCCCGGTCCTGCAGGCTGGGCCCGGCCGTTGGAGGCAGGGACAGGGCTGTGYGGCCGTCTGCCCTTCCGCACTCCAGCTTTCCCTGGGTGCCTGCTCGCACCTGGCTCCCTCGGACAGTGCGGAAGTCGGGCCAGTGCTCTGGAAGCCCTCTGCTGTCACGCACTGTGTCTCTGTGCCACACGCTGTATTAGGACTTGGGACAAAGATTTGGTGACCTCCCCACGGGGAGCTCATAGTGCAGAGAACTGCAACGGCTCTCAGCCACTGGCCATGAAGAATCATGGCAGGAGCCACCCCATGGGAGCAGACCACCCCCCACAGCGGGCAGTGGAAGTGCTGGGTGGCCCCACGGTGCACAGGGTCCAGGCACCCAGGAAGCCAGCCAAGGAAGTCTGTTTAAAGACAACTAAGCACAGTGGCCCCAGAGCCGCCGGGCACAGCATGGGCAGGCGACCGCCGCCCAGAACGCCTGGTCGCCCTGGGAGGAGCCACCCGACCCGCCCAGGAAGCATAAGGCATCTCTCCTGGGGGCAGAGAGGAGCAGAGGCAGGTCATCACGCTGGCCCCGATGGGCTTCTGCGGGCCCACACGGCAGCTGCGCTGACAAAACACATGGTCATTTTTGCTGGTTTCCTCGGGCTCTTCTGCAGCCATGGAGAGGGGTGTTGAATTAAGATGTGGCAGATACCGGCAGTATGGTGCCCAAGACGAGTTGAACTGTGCAGTGGCAACAGGCGATGACAGACAGTGACCCAGAGAGCAGCTAGAGGTGTAGACCTCTGCTCCCACCCTGTCCCCGGCCCCAGCTATGTAATGACCTTCAACATCATGGTATGAATGTCCAGTGCTGAGCTTCTAATTATTCAGGGAGGCTTGATTGCTGGCATTCTTAAGGCAGCTGCTGTTCCTGTGGTCTTCTCTGACCCCAGGCTCTTCCTCCACACGCCATGCCCATGACACAGCCCACACCGACTTAGATATAAAACAACCTTTTTTCTTTACAATTTATGTAAATCATGATATGTTGACTATTTTTTACTAAGAATTCGGGAAGATCACTGGAGCAATAGAAATACCACAGGATTACAGAGTCCACATTCTTCAGGACCTGAGCCACCTCCACTAGCATCACCTCCACCATCACCACAACCCTCACCTCCACTTCCATCACCACTGCCTCCACTATCATTATCACTCTCTACCACCTCTATCACTTACACCATCAGCTCTACCAGTACCACGTCTACCATGACCACCCATCCCCACCATCACCATACCTTCACCATCACCACCACCTCCATCATCACCATCATCACCGCCTCCACCATATCACTTCCACCATGTCACCTCCACCATTACCCCCCAACTCCACATCTCCACCACTATCTGCACCATCACCACCACCCCCACCATCGCCACCACCTCCACCATCTCCACTATCATCATAATCACCACTACTTTATTCTGTTGATGCACTGAAAAGAAAATTCATAGAGTTGGTGCTGATTGTGGGATTCTATGC